AGAAATTCTGGCGTAGCGCGGATTGCCGGAACCTTCACGGAGAGGAAAAAGACCGAGTTCACAAAGCGCTGTCTCATTTGTCGGCTGTCTTCGCTGACAGTATGTCAATATTCACGATTTGCTCGCCTCTTGCTGCCCTTGCGAAAGGTTCTTACGTAAAAAATTCCCTTCCTGTACGTGTGTCGCATCTTCTTGTATACACTGTGCGACACTCTTCTCGTCATTGTTATCCCTGCTGGTCACTTCGGCTGCTCGCCGCTGTAACAGCAGTCTGTCGCCTCCAGTGTCTTAAAACTTGTGGATCTTCATCCTGCTTCGCCTGCAAGACTTGGCCTGCTTTTTCGAGTGTTTTCTCGTCTTGAAGCAGATCGATGTAATTTAAGGTCGAATAGAGCAGATCGATATACTTTAACGTCGAACAGAACACCGTAAATGGCAATCCGGCGGCGCCCGTGTAGGTCCTAAGCGTGGCATCATTGCGACGGCATGTAGCGGCCCGCCGGCCAGGGCTCGTGGTCGAGTGGTGGCGTGCGATAGGGGCCGGTGTGCCGGATTGCCTCAACTGGCGCGGCCTCGCCAGAACGAAGCGGACGCGCCTGTGAGGCCAAGGCCGCCTCATCGACCCGAGCTGCCCTCTCTCTCTAGATCGCACCGGAGGGAGAGTGCCTTTCTTGGACGGCAAGGAGGGACGCCCGTGGGCCCGCCGAATTGGCACAGTGCACGGCACAAAGAAACCAACTCTTGCGGTCTCTGCAGGTGGAGGTCGCGGACGTGCATTTCGCTTTAATTGCTGAGTAGGCTGGCAACCTTCGAATGCGCCCCGGAGCTTCGCTTTGAGTACCGCTAAATGCTTTTGTTGGAGGTATCGTTGCGCAGTTACACTGAAGCTGCGACCGTCGTGGTGCTTTCGTAATTAGGGGTGCATCATCACGTGCACGGTACCGCGTGGTGGGCTGTAGTCTTTTTCTAAAAGTTTGTCGCGGCAAATACGGGTCAAAAAGTTACATTAAGCTGTCGTCGGCGCTCTTAAATAAGGTGCTCATTCACGCATACAGACGTGACCACGTGCACGCACCACCAGTTGCTGCTAGCCGTGTAAATCTTTACCAGCCACTGCAAGGACATCGCGAGCACTTTAATAATAATAATAATAATAATAATAATAATAATAATAATAATAATAATAATAATAATAATAATAATAATAATAATAATAATAATAATAATAATAATAATTAATGGTTTATTTTCAACAGTACATAGTTGAAGATGATTAAGTATTCCGTGGTGAACCTTGCGAAACAAATGGCGAAATGGGGGTGACACTTTGCTGCACTCGCGAAGCGAATACTTCACAAAGAATAGGAGGGTCGAGCAGAGCATGAGTAAGTATGCATTTCTTTAGATTGTGCTCATGAGCTCCACAGTATGATCGTTATTAAAAACTGCCTGCCCCCGTTTCATCGAAGAAAAAAAAATATCTCACTGCGACAGCAGTAACAGGGTGGCCTGCATAGCACATATTCTCTGAGAGGCGTTGGAGGACACCGCAAAGGAAGTTTAGCTGATGGCTGTCATGTCTACCGGGGTGTCATGTAAATATCGTTGTTGTACCACTGACACTCAGCTTGGGATCCTGAATAACAGCGCCATACTTCGGAATGTATGCGTTTGCTACGAGACGACCAGCGAACGACAGCGTGCGTCTTCGCCCTGCTGGTGCAAATGTTTTATTGAACAGGCATGGTCCGGACCTGCCCGGGCAGCCTTCATTTCGTGACTAGCTCTGCCTGTTTCCTCGTGCGCGGAGCTCAACCAGACGACGGGAGTTCTAATCGCATGCGAGTGCGGCCCCCTGCGCCGTGCCCCCTCCTGTTCTTCGTAATTATCCCGTTCTTCCTCTGCCCTGAGTCGATACGAGACGCCACTTGTGGCGCTTCGCGACGTCAGACATCGCGTTAGGCGCGTGCTTCTTAACCATGTGTCGGGATTTCTCGGAAAAGGTGTCAGTAATTTCATCTGATTGTTCAGTAACATTCGTGACTGCAGTGGCTCTTTGAACAAGCGAAGTCGCACAGGACTGAGGCCACATCGATGACAACGGTGTCGCTTTTAGCTGCGAAGAAACTCGGCAAGGCTTACTTAACTTTTCGTTACCACGCGAAAATGCCTATATTTTATATGTCTCGGAAATATAGTTTTTGTCAGTTTGAAAAGTACTCCAGCTCGCTCTGGTGCATAGCGAATTTCGCGCAATGAAATGCTCTTTCCGAAAAATAATTGTTGTACAGCAACAAAATTATTTTGGAATGAGTAGAAATGTGAAAAGTGTGTAATTTTTGGTTGCCAGCTGGTAAACATTCTGAGAAAAAACACTATATATGCAAAATTAGTCAAAACAATGAAAATTCAGAATATAATTTGATATGTGGGGTTTAACGTCGAAAAAAAAATCAGATTATACACTTTGAAAATAAATGACAAAGAACAGTATTAAATATGATTAACGTTTTAGAAATGTTTCTATTCACATATACAAACGAACTGGGAACAGAGGTGCTGCTTCATTGCTCGTGCCATGCGGTGAGGCGTTCCTCGCTTTTTCGAGAGACACACACAAAAAAAAACTCGTAAATTTCTCGCATCATTTTTCTTCATTCTTTCAAGAGACTGTTAGTGTTTCAATATAGATGGATGCCCGCGATGTGAACAATTCGTAGATAAATCAGACGACAAATGAACTTCTTTATTTCGTCTAGCCTCCCCTCTTTCCATGACCCACCTCACTCTTAATGGGTTGGCGTTGCATTATAAGCATCCAAGTATATATTTTTTTTGCATTTTGCACATCGTATAAGAAAGAATATTGCACGCAGTTCTAAAACGTTTCGCGCTGTTCAGTAGTCAGGGCCAAGATGGGCTGTGGTAGCTTTCTTGTCGCGAGGAGAACCTCTGCAGCCGGCGCCAGCACACCGCGCTCCTGCGACGTGTGGACCTCACACGTAAACAAAGTAGCTATGAGATTGTGCACAAAAGTCAGCAGCTATATGCTCTTGCGGCGGAGGAGATCACTTGAGGCCGTAAACAGAACAAACCCCCAGACGGCTGCAGATGTCTCCGGCTTAAGTGACACATCGTCGTCACGAGACCTGAGGCAGAGTTGCTGTCATCATCGAATTCTGAGCTCCTCCTCATTCATGTCAGGTGTGGTTGCAAGGCAGTTTGAAGTGGCATTTTTTTTTTTTTGAAGCACAAGGGCCCACCCATACACGCGTGACTCCACCGCCATAGGAGCGACTAGCGACACTAGAGGAGCTCCTGTGTCTGCTATAACGGTAGAAGCTAAACAAAAGGCCACCTCCACATTTTAAAGATGCAGCGGACCTTCGGAAACAGTTTTTCTCGTGTGAAATGAAAATTCCCTCACTCCTAGAAAGAGCTCTCTATTGAATAGCTGGCACAAATTTCTGGCAGATATTAGTACTTAGAACTGTCATATTGCGAGGCTGATACCTTTTCTTGTCGTGAGGAGAACCTCTGCAGCCGGCGCCAGCACACCGCGCTCCTGCGACGTGTGGACCTCACACGTAAACAAAGTAGCTATGAGATTGTGCACAAAAGTCAGCAGCTATATGCTCTTTGATTGCATAACTTTGATGTTACTGTATAGCATAAACACGAGGGGCACACACTTTTGTCGTGTTCGCCAGCTAGTGCATTTCCAAACAACACACCGCACATTGGTTCGCGCAAAGGTCTGTGAGAAATCACCATGTTCCCAAGCCGGGTAATTTCAGATTGATTCCCAAAGTTGAGTGGCTGGACTAACTACAAGAAAGTGCTGGATGCGTGAGAAACGAATTCAACACGCCAAAATAGACGATCGATAGCGTCTATCACCGTTGATCGATTTGAATAGGCATGGTGACGAAAGAGTTAAGAAAAATTTTAGCATCACATTCACGAGACGTCGACAGGATTGGCACTACCATCTCGAAGTCAATAGACAACCTTTGATGCTTGCTATAGGCTAAGGTGCATCGAACACGTATAGACGAGTGCGAGCTATCTCTGTCTCTCAAGTGCCGTAAACTCGGAGCTTTTGTAGATTTGATTATCTCAAGCAGTATTGAAACCTGTACAGCAGGCGTGCTTTCAACTCGCTGGACAATAAAGCAAAACGTTCCATATTTTCTGAAGCAAGCTTTCGCAGAAAAAAAAAGGGGGGGGGGGGGGGAATGAATGTGACTAAGCGCGCGCTTGTAAGCAATGCTCAGGAAATAGTTTCGTATGTCTAGTGGCCCAATGCAAGCTTCCCCATCAGAAGAGGGTGAGAGCATCCGTAATTACTATGCAAGTTTGATTAGGCTGAAAATTAAAAATAAAATTAATTTAAAACTGATCCATCAAATGCCTATAGCAGCGTCTCACGTTTTTTGAAGAGTCTGGGACTGGGCCTGTTTGTGCATAGCTTGAAAAATCGACGAACCTTGCAGCCTTCAAAACGCTGTACAGAAGAGTATAAATTTGGACGAACACACACCCAGCACGTGCGTTCGTCAAATTTTCTCTTGCGTGCGCATCTTTTAAGGTTGGGTTCGTCGAGTCTCATGGTGCAACCTCGGTGCAACCAAGCAACCCTATTCATATTTACCATGGTGATATGAATTAACGTTCTGTAATGTATCAAACATAGTTAACTGCGTGGGTAATTTTTTTATTGACATCATATATATGAAGATGTTGGCGCATAAGTAAGGCGCCGGCTACTCTTTAGCCTTCGAGTGAACATATTATACAGTTCCCACCATATTACTTGCATCTATAGCGACGTGTATTCTCGTTAATCCATTCCAATTATATGGTCCTGTCCATGATGTGTTCGTAGTCTTATTGAGCCCGTAAAGTGCCGTTCTTTGTGCTCTATATAAATATGTGTGGCATGTGGCAGCAGTCAGTGTTAACATTTCTTCGTGTGCTCTGTTTTTTCTTTTGCCCAGTTCTACCAACTGGCGGAGCGGGTAAAGTTGTTTGTGGCGTACAGCGAAAGCACAGATATCACGTGCTTCGCGCCCACCAATGACGCCATCGACAGGTTCCGCGAGACCTACCCCAACAAGATCATCGAGGTCACCTACCATGTTGGTGAGTCAGTGCACATGTGCGGACACAGTGACTTAGAAACACACACAGCACCGGTGACACCGAGTTTTCCTCGGCGTCAAACGTGAATATGATCAACTGTGAGCCCATTCTCGCAAAAATAAGCTTTAGTAAACTCAAAAGAAGTGAGAGGTCCGTATTAACACACACACACACACACACACACACACACACACACACACACACACACACACACAACACGCACACACACACACACACACACACACACACACACACACACACACACACACACGAAATGCTCGCAGGTTATCATAGCACCTAAGCGCAAGTACTAGAAAGGTGATGGGCCAATGGCTGAGAAGCTTTACGTTTTGCAATTTCGATCGAAATTCCGCAAAATTACTCGTTTTGAACTACTGAAAGAATTTCCCTAGATTTTCGTTCGCAAGTTCCTATGCCACTGACAGGGTTCGATAATGGTATGTGCAGCATTATATAGGATTGGCCAACTGGATAATATTTTCCCATACGGACAATTTCAGCGTAAGAAATCAACCATGCATCGGTTCCGAGAGCCAGGTATTGTAAGACTAAGACAGCCAAACGCTTTCAGATTACACAATTTAGGCAACTGTTGTGCTTATAAGTTATGTTGTACACTGGTCGTATGATGAACGTAAGCCTAGTCAGTGATGAATAATTGTGTTTAAAACCATACTGTTTACAAAGCTCGTATTTAAACTAAGCGGAAAGCCTTTGGTTAAGCTTTTAAAAGTGTGTATAAAGGTGACTCAGTTATATTCCTCTGGTAACTGTGGCAATGATGGTGATTTAGAAGGCGAAGGAGGCGCTCACTAGGTAAATAAGAACGCGCAATGATGACAGCGACAAGTAGAACAGGTGGTTGATTCATGATCTAGTGACTTCGCTTCCAGGCAGTTTCTATTTATATCGCTTCATTGTGCAATGAATTTGAGCCTATAGGTACTCTTATCTGAGTCATTTGAGAATACAACACTAGTCGTGAAGAATGCCTAACCGGATGCGATTGCGATAATGTGTTGCAACAGGCTTTACGATAGCGCATAGCTAGCGCGTTAATTGGGAGTATGAGATCACGTAGGTAAATGCCGCAACAAAAAGGCCTCTTAAGCAGGATGAGCGTGGGGCAATTAATGACGCCATATTTAGCCGCAACTCTTCATCGCTTTGACATAGTAAATATCAGGCTCGAATTACTCGCTGTCAGCTGTGGGTGAAACAAAGAGCAGCCACAAAATAGACGCTGTAGAGTTCCCCACATCCCCCACTTTTTTTTTTCTTTCCTTAATAGACTGATTCATTTCACGACGCTTACTGTTGGTACAAATTCAAGTAAGTTGCTACTTACGATGCTTTTGCGTTTGCCGACACGTGAAGGTATAATCGAGAAAGTAACGTTAAGCTACAATATGTTGAATCGGACCACTTGGAGCGTCTTTATACAGTATGTAAAAAAAAAACACAAACGATGGAGACGTGTTTTCTTCGTCTTCGTTACTCGTACTTTTTTATGCGCCCGTAAATAACCAGAAGGACTTCTTGTTGTGATCTAGTCACTCGCTGAAACTCATCTTACAGCGTAAAAAAGAAACGACGGTAAAGTGGGTAATGGAGACAGAGTGCTCTACACTCTCTTATTGTCTTTTTTTTTCTTTAATCTTTCCAGGCTGTTGAGCTGTAAGCAATATTTGATTACAACACAGTCGTATATTTTATGTCATCATTACAGACGACTATGCTTTCTCTCCTTTAGCTTAAAATAAACTGAATGAGACTCCGATACTATAGTACATAACGCTATATGGCGTTCCTTTTTCTGTGAAAGTAGAAGCTGCCATGTCTGTACCCCGTGTGACAGCGTTTAACTTCGCAGAAAGTGTTCGTACAGCGGATAATAGTTGATTTTCACTGTTGTAAAAACTTCGCTGTGCACAATTCCCTCTACGAAAAGAAAGCGAATCATGTCGCCATAAAAAGAAACATGAAAGTTGTATATCCACGTTTAGTTCTGACGGTGTCTATTTACGCTTCATTACGAGCAGTAATTGAAAAAAAACCCACATAATAAAAGGTGAAGGCGTTTGCAACGATGAACGCTACTTCTCAGCGCTTATATTTTCGCCTTAATAGCTGTACATTTTGGCAGCGAAGTGTTCTGTACTCGCTCCATCAGCTTTGTCGACTACAGGCTCATGGCGCGACCTCTGTGACGCGCTCAGCCACGTGACCTTTGGACGACAACAGATTAGAAACGTTTAGAGCCGGTGCAAACGCAGTGACACGTATCGAGCGACCATGTTACCGCCTAGTTTTAGACGCCCGTTGTAAACAAAAAAAAAGTAATAATAACGTGAACGAAAGAAAAATAAATGACGCAACCCAAAACTCGCGGTCTTCGCACGCTCGCCGCAGGCATCCAGGAAATACCGAGCCTCGGCGGGAGGAACACATACCGACAGCGCCTTTTGTCGTCGGAAGGGCCGTCACCGGCGTGCCTGCCACGCGGAGCCGTTTTCCGCGTCCCAGCCGGGGCATTCGCCCCGAAAGCAACGTGCCGCAGCTTTTAACAGCGCTCCCGCGCGCGAGCTTTGACGCTCGTCGTGTCGAATTCGGCGCAGTGGTGCAGACGCTGGCATTTCGGCACGACAGCCACGGCGGCGTGCGGTGTCACTGAAAATGCCATTGCACGCACATTTGTGCAGCGACACAATCGTTTAGCCCGGAGCTGTACCGTCGTGGATCCCCCGAAATTGTAGACCCGTAAAGCCGGCTGCTCGCTACAATGACTCCCGAGAAAGACCTCCGAGGTCAGTCGTAACAAAACAGCTGACGGCGGGCTCTGAGGCAAGCATCTGAGCAACTGGAAAGGTCGCGGTGAAAGGTTACGAGAGATCTTCAGAAACTGGGGGAGGTGGTCGAAAGCTGCTGGAATGCAAACAGGGCCTGCAATAAATTGACAAACGAACCACCCCCCTTGTGTGGATCGTAACGATGAGATCGGCAAAAAGCAGCTGCTAATAGAAACCATCTCAGAGTTGATCCTACCACATTTCGTTTCTCCGACGTTCCTACCAGAGGTAGGAACGTCGGAGCGACGAAAACGTCGGAGCGTTAGAGCGTGTTAACGTTCAGAAGCCACGCCCCAATAATCGCGTGTGCCGCTCACATTCATTTAGCTCCCCTCTGTCTGTTGCGGTTTATTGATGATGTATCCAAAGTTTGCTTGCAGCTGAGAGAAAGAAACATTTCTTAACTACGTAATGGAAATACATTAGTGGCGAAATATCCAGCCCAAGGGTAATAATTAGTGGCGCAATCACTTACATTTTACACGCACACAGTACCTGTTGTCGTAGCAAGTCTATTCCAGGCCTCTGTCCCTTCACGGCACCTAAACGATGCTTTGGAGATTAAAATGCTTTTGTATTATACATGACTCAATCTTTAGGCAAAAGAATCATAGACCGCTAAGAACATTGATTGAGTGAATCATAACGGAGCTGACACAATGAAATGTGATCGAGAGGTCGGCAAGGGAGATGTGGTCGAAAGTGAGTTTTGCCGATACATATACCGAGCATCGAACTTATAAACTATCCACCTCAATTAACTATCCAAGTTTATTACGGTAAATTTACCGAGTATCAAGTGTTTTTTCTACTCAGAAAAAAAAATTGTTTTGCTTTGGCCAAGGACGGAACACATGCGCACACACGCAAACGGAACTCTTCGATTATGTATAGATCAGCTGTTTAGAATTCGATTCCGAGCAAAAGCAAATGTGACATGACTCTGGTATTCGGTACATGACGAGGGCTTGCAACCAAGTGCCAAACGTTACTCTCATTTTAAGTGTGAATACACTTTATAAGCGACCCCAAACCATCCACCGCCGTCGGCGGCGTCCGCAGTCTTCTCTCTATCTTTAAAAGAAAGAGGACTTGGCGCGCCGCAGCGCGACGCTCTACCGAATAAGCCACGGACGCGACGCTGATATCGGTGTCAGTAACGCGCCTTATACCCCCTCCCCCTTCGCTCGCTCCTCCGATCTCCTCGCTCGCTGCAGCTGCGCGCGCACCCCTCTCTCTCGCGCGCCCGCCTTCTCTCTCAGTCTCCCGTCGAGAGCGGGTCGTGAGGGGGAGTAAAGTTAAAATCCGTTGGCATTCGCCAGTGAGTTAACGTAAACTCCCCCGTGTGATCAAATTGCGATTCCCAGGAACCATTACACCATAAAGGCACCATAGTGTGATTAATAAATATAATAGTGCGAATTAATAAATACCCCTCATAGCATCACCCCGTGTATTCGCACTTAACCATGTTCACCCTCGGGGAAATGCTTGGGAGTTTTTTTAGTAGCGGGACATTCAAACGAGCCGCCTTCCAAAACAATGTAGAAAAAAAAGCAGCATGATTGTTGCGACGACCGTTAAACTCGGAGGACCTTTCTGCTCGTCTTACTCCAGTCCGGCGGGCGTACATTCGTCATCTGTAGCCCTGCACGAAACTCTTGACAGAACGTGCGGAAGACGCCAGGCGGCATGTTCGCGTGCGCGATTGATTGCGTGATTGTCCTCTGCCCCCGCGCTTTTCCGACGTGCTACAGCGGGAAGAGCGGGCGGGCTACGCTGACAGCAGCTTGACGAACGACTTGCATTTAGAATGCCTTATAGTCTCGAAAGTTCGCTGCGTAGAGGGAGAAAAGGATGTGTTTACCCGTGAAAAACCTCTCGAACGCCGTTTGCCGCGCGAAAAGGACGAGCATGAGTAGAGAGTGGCGAAAAAGGCTTAACGTGTGATAAGCTGTTGCAAGCCGTTGTGATCCGACGGTAATGGTGGTAGAGCTGTGTTCTTTTTCTCTCTTGTAAAAAAGAAACTTGCGCAGCCTTGTTCAGAAGGTGAACATATAATGAACGAAGAAATATTAGCCTGCAAACTTCTTAAAAAGGAAGTACGTTGACGATGGCAGATAATCGCCAGTTTCTCAGCTGCCTACACACTAAACAAAAATGACCTGAAATAACCTCAAAAACTGGGTAAACCATTTGTCCTCTAGCGCACTACCTTTCCTGGGTTTTTTTTACCACCTACTACCGAGGTAAAAATTTACTCTCGTGATAACTGAGTTTTTGAACGTAGGGAGAGTAGTAAATATTTACCCCAGTGAGGTTTTCAGCGAGTACAGAGAGAGTAAATTTTTACTACCTTCACAAGGTTTTTGAGGTGATTACTGGGAGTTATTTCTGGTGGTAAAAAAATAAAAATTGACGGGTGCATTCGGCCAGAGACGACAAATTTATTGAATAGCAGAACTGATTGAATTTATTGAACGGCAGAATTGGTGACACATAGATTCACATACAGACAAACACGCACACACAACAAATGCAGAATAATACACCACTAGAACAGACTGCACGCGTTGCTCTACTATACACTTCGACAATCCGGTATATATATAGGCACGACTTTTTGACCGGCCAAGTAGTACCGGTAGGAGAGCTCTTTTTTTCCATCGATTAACAACAACGCTTGAAGGTGCAAGCGTAAGCTTCAGGTGGGCTGCAGGGCACTAAATGTCACACCGACCTTTTATTATAAATCTACACGATCTCACCTTTTTGATTATCCAATAATTGCTTGGCACACCGGGCTCTTTGCCCCACGCGTGTTAGCACTGCTGATGCACAAGTTCATAAAATATACCTAAGTACACACAAACCATGGTAGCTCAATGATTTTAATTGAGCGACGGTGCACAAACACAGTAGCAGCACGTATTCATCACAACGGGCGTAGAGGAGCGGTGCACGCCTGCACACAAGCTTCTTACCGACGGCGTTCTAGGCCTTTTCGAGGAGCACGGCTATCCGATGAAACACAGCTGGCGATCACAGAACACATATACTGTGCGAATTTCGTCGTCATTTCAGACACAAATGAACACGTGACCACTATCTTGCGGAGACGGGGCGGTGTATGCATACTTCCAACGAAAGACCACCATCCGGGCAGGTCCGGGTTTTCTTCGTGCTCACCGGCCGCCACTTGTTGGTTCCGTCTGCCTCTTATCGGCTTCGTGCTACATGTTTGAGAACAGTTGGTGCATGAGGTGGGCGATTCGGGCAGCACTTTACTCGTGCAGACATCGCCTACTGTGGAACAAAATATATGCGATGCTTCTTTCACCTGCCCCGGCGACACACTCACACTGGTCACTGGTGGCCGCGGCTCGGTGCCGACGACAGAGTGAAGCATCTTGCTTATTGCATGCTTCTCCAGCAGGCAAGCACGGACGATGACACCAGATTGATTTTGTTACCACTGGCAGATCTGGAGATATCCGCGAACTGGAGATATCCGCGACGTGCAGGTTCGGAGGCGCTCGGAAGAGCACGGTCGCTCGATGATGTAGGAAACACGTGAGATCCATCAGCCCAACCAGACACACAGATACCGAGCTTTTTGCACTGTCTGTCTCCAAAGCCACCGCCGAGCAAAAGCAACAATTTGCGAAAATATGCAGGACAACTTTCCACAGCAGGTTTTCTTTCTTTTTTTTTCTCTTTTGAGAGCCCCCACCCCCCTCCGTCTTTTTCTTTCTTTTTTTGTTCAAAGAATGCTGTTCTCGCTTGTTGTGCTTATGCTGCCCCCAGTTCCAGTAAAAGTGCGCTGACTCGAAGTCAGTCCAGAGGCACGGCGATGCAAAAAAAAAACAAACAAAAAAATATCTGTGGGCTTCGCGTACCTTCAGTATTCACTGAGAGCGTCACAAGGAGGGTATGGGGCAAAAGCCACCGAAGCAGCTGCACCTTGCAGTCACGTGGTAATAAACTCTCAAACGCAGGTTAAAAATCACGTGATAGAAAACTCCCTAAGTGGTAAAACTGGATTTTGACATCCTTTTACTACTTGCCTGAGAGGTGGTGGTAAAACTATGTCATGTACCATCTTTTACTCCTACGCGAGGTAGTAATTTTAAACGCGAGGGAGTTTTCAGAGGTCATGAGCAGGAAAAACCCCAAACTCGGATAGTTTTTGCTTACAGTGTATGTATGAAACAACAAATGACAAGCTCTGCGACGTACATTGTGTTCTAGTTATATCTTTCCTCGGCGAAATTAACGGTCAAGCTTTGGTATTTATTTTCCGTGATATGGCCAGTATACGCACCTATAAGGCATTGCGTCGTCCACGCTTAGTTGACCTTCGTGTGGACACAGACTATACATTTCACAAAACCGCCAAGGTCAGTGGCAATGGCGCTGCATTTCGTGAACGCGAAGTCGTGGGCTGGCACGCCAGCGGTGTCATCGTACAACAACAAGGCGCTTGATTTTTTCTTTCTGCATTTGTTAATTAACGGTTGACTCACGCATGTGCTACTATTATTGTCGATATGTTATGCCTAAACCATTAGACGCTTTTATTCTTTCCTGTAACGCTACAAAACTGCGCCATTCATCGAATGTCGGTGTTCACTAACTCTGGCGGCAAGGTCAAGCAAGATTAGAAGGTCTTTAACCATATCAGGATAGTTGCGTTTACAGAAAAAGTGCGAGTGAAGAAAAGATTGAATTGGTCTCTTTTTTAGCCTAAGGTACTCATTTGACACACACACACACACAATATATATATATATATATATATATATATATATATATATATATATATATATATATATATATATATATATATAAAGAGAGAGAAATTGGTCACTTCTCTCGAACCGTGCTGATGCTATGCATGATCTTGGGTGAAGTACACTCTAAAAGTGCAGCTTTTCGGGCTAGTTGGTTATGAAATCATGACAGACGACTCGGACAAGGAAGGCTCGAGCGCTATAGTTGAAAGTCAGCGCTCGTGTCCTCCGTCGTCCTCGTCCGTGTCTTCCATAGCGTTAGGAACCCTTGAAGTGAAATTCTCTGCTGATAACATTTTAGCGTAAGGCGATTTTGTGGATACGGGCCCCGAAAAGCTTCACACGAGATTGCTCGACGATTGAATTTTTTTTTCTTGTGTATGGCTCTCTCTGTACAGTGTCGCTCAATTTGGCGGAGGACAACCTTCCTTCGTCGGTGCCAACGATTGCCAAGGGCTCACCGCACCTCTATCTCACCAGGGCGCGGGACAGGGTAAGCCTCGCCAGAGCCTTTCAGTGTTTCGGCCTCGCGGACGCGCGAATGTAGACAAGGGCGGCTTTGACATGTTCCGTTATCGCTCGACCCGAATGTGCCTTGACCCGAAAACTGCCCATTTCGGGTGCGCTGTAGCATCTATACTAGAGCGAAACTTTGTTTACGAGTGTCTGCACGGCTCTCAAGCATAATTAAGTGCACAGTGTCAAGGAGACAATCACCTAAAAGCATCGGTTGCTTTAATAGTATGCTTTGGTGCCTCGTGGGTTATACCAGCAAGTCTTGTTTTTCGTTTGGTATAGACGTAGTCACACGAGAGGTTTCCTGTACTGCGATGAATCAAGTAGTCATAATGGCCCGTGTAAATTTTCAGCCACATCAAGAATGTAGCGACGAGGTGCATTCCGTCAGCACCTTCTGGCGCACTGGGCCTCTTCCAATAAGTGCCGACCGAAACTATTGATATTGAGGCCGTTCGCCTATGTCGGATGGTTCAACACATGTATAGTGCGGGTAAACAGGCCTTGTTGATGTGGCTAACGGGATTCATTCGAACAAAGAAGTTAGAAAAGCGAGAAATTTGTATAATTTTTTTCTAATGAACGCTAGTAAACGCGCTGAAGACGTGACAAGACATATTCGAAGTGGAACAATGCGCTGATTGTGTGTTCATGAAGCCACGTTGTGGGATCTATGTAAGGTATATTATTCAACTTAGAGTTCTCGTAATTACTTAAGGAACATTGGCGGATATTCCCTACTGGGAAATTCAAAGCACAACTAAGTACCGTCAGGTGGAAACACAATGTATTGTGCAGTGTGCGAAAGAGCTTATTTTAATATCAATAAGGGCCTCGGGAAGGCTGGTCGACGTTTCGATCAGTGGACTTGTTCTCGTCAAAGGCGACGAAGTAAGGACTTTATTCATTGTCATATAACGTGTACAAGGGCATTATCCGACAGCACGTAATCATCACTTGTATTAATAATGATATAAACAAAACTTACGGGGCAAACTTTCTGTATTCGCCGATACTTTGGTATGGTTGCTTGCTATGGGCCGCTTTTTACTTTTTGTCTTCAAAACGATACAGTTACTTGTTGCGGCATTTTTAGGGGCCTACCTTTTTTTGGTACTGACTGTAGGGCAGGGTAATTTGTCGCGGCAAAAATGGTGTAGGCCTACTCAGTTAGGGCACTGGTATACTTAGTCTCTAACTCACTGGTATAGTTAGTCACTCGTAATGGCTATTGTCCTTTCTGCTTTTTTTTTTCTCCAAGATTAATGATTTATTTACTTGTTTTAAGATAGGCATCATGTTGCTAAAGCTTTCGCGGGCGAACTTACGAGTCACGTGATCTTGAGCTTACTCTGTAAATAGTACATCTCGGTCCTGAACACACACGAATGTACATAGTAATGGGCTATCGGGAAGTTTAGAAGTTCTGTACAGAATTCGAGTACTGCTGGGTTACATCATAAATACCTATAGTATGTTGACATTGAGGGTCATCGCCAGTCAGGTAGTCATAACTTTTTTTTTTTTAATGGTGCTGCTATTTCGTTCAAACGCACACCGTAGTATTAAAGCTCTTAATAGGCACTTGAATGAAGTAGATCCGAGATAATGTTTTGTCAGAAAAAAAAATGTACCAGCGTGTCAGGGTTTGCTTTCCTTTTTTTTTTGCATTTTTGTACGTGACGCGTTGCGAAACAGAAAAGAAAAAAAATATAGCGGTAACCACGAGGGCACGAGAAAACGTAAAGTTTACTTACTACCATGCTTTGAAGGAAATGGGAGAAGACGACATACGTTGTTACGCTGAACTTCGACCAAGAGGGGGTTGAAGATGAATGACGTTTCGCCTTTCATGCGCAACCTTTTTTTTTCATATTGTTTTTACTTCAGTGTCTTTTTTTTTCTTGTTTCTACGATGTCATTACATTGCGACCAGACGAAATTTCATCCAATTCCCAATATCGTTGCTACGCTGCATATTGGCGTGATGTGGACAAACTTACAGGGAGTAAATCGTTTAAAAAATCGTTAAAGTCTAGGTTCAGCATGTGCATTGATTGATTGATTGATTGATTGATTGATTGATTGATATGTGGGGTTTAACGTCCCAAAACCACCATATGATTATGAGAGACGCCGTAGTGGAGGGCTCCGAAAATTTCGACCACCTGGGGTTCTTTAACGTGCACCCAAATCTGAGCACACGGGCCTACAACATTTCCGCCTCCATCGGAAATGCAGCCGCCGCAGCCGGGATTCGAACCCGCGACCTGCGGGTGGTTCAGCATGTGCATTTTTCCATGTTAAGGTGAAGGAAGATTACAAAACCGAACCCGGACTTCGTCGCTTCTCGCAGTTCTTCTTCGTCAACAACGCCAAGGTGACTCGGCGGAGGGAGCTTACGTTCGAGCAGTACAAGCAGAAGCTGTACGTGATTGATGACGTGCTCGAGGCGTTCATTCCGACCAGCGGAGTGACGCCGAACGCCTTCGAATTCCTCAACCAGCCGTCCATCTACAACCTCAACCACAGGCTTGTGTGAGTGCTCCTCGCCTTTCGTTTCATTACTTTTTTCGTCTATCTCTATCGAGCACGGTCGGATCTTACGAAGTCGTATGTGCTCAGATAAGCGACAGTTTGCGAAATGTTCAGCCTGTTTGCAGGGAAGAAAATCAATTACCATAAAGATGTGCCTCGTCAATTATAATGTAGCAGTTAATTGATTCTTTTATTAAATATATTTCTGTCTCTCAGACATAGGCATGCGCAAATGAGGGGGAGGGGCAGCTGGGGGGACGGCCGCCTCTTAGTCACGTAAGAGAGGGGCGCGAAGCAGCCCTATACCTTGACATAATAGGGAAGGGGGCACTGCCATTCTGTGGGGGGTGGGGGAAGCAAAGTCAGTTTTATACATTGACAAGAAGGGCAAGGGGGGGTTCTGTGACATACCTTTGCCCCCCCCCCCCCCCTGAAGGCAAATCAGCGCATGCCTATGCTCTCAGCAGTGAGCGAAATCATTCTATCGATGACGAAATGAGTAGTGAGCAGACGCTGCATAGCAGTAGAAATATATTTTGTGCCACATTTATTTCAACCACACATAGCATTGCTTGATAAATGACGAGTTCTTGAGGTAGCCTGCACTGCGATTTAGCGTTCGCACCCTGCCTGATAGCGTTTAATAAAAAAAGCGTGGGGTATGCCTCATTAATACAGGTGATAATGTGAACGTCTATGAAAGTATTTGCTCGGGAAACATGCAACCACTGCAACGTAGATTTGATTACGGTGTCGGCTGCTTGTTTCAGAATCGTCATTCTCGTCAAATATTTTAATGCACAATGGCAGAATTGTTCAAAATACATAGTTGCACTGCTCAGACAGACGAAGACGAAAGCCGTAGGTAACTCACAGTTTTCAATTGACACGCACGCGTTGGTCGTTAGTTTGATGTATTTGTATGCTTCCTCGTTCAATAAATTCTTTTAGTTGCGAGTAAGTGCTTGTCCTGTTGGTTGTTTGCGAAACTTCATTGTGGTGCTGCAAGGCACGCGTTAGCGTGCAGCGGGCGATTCCCACGTCGGGACCGTTAGGCCAAGCCTATCGGCCGCTCCGCGAGCCTGCTGGACGGCCCAAAGTTGGTCGGCCAGGAGGGAGCCACCTCCCACCTGACCGAAGTAGTGTCGTGGTTAGTGTACATTGCCTTGCACTCCCAGAGCATGTGCGCCAGCGTGGCTACGTCCCCACATGCGGGGCAAGCGTCATTTAGGAGTACGTCGGGATAAATATCGTGAAGGCAGCTCAGGTTAGGGTACGTGTCCGTCTGCAGTGGTGATGGTGGTGGTAGTGGTTTAGAAGATGAGAAAAGGCACCTAATTTCTGCAACCCGGTCGGGAGCACGGCGCAGTGCCTACAGTAGTCTGAGCGTAAGGGCCTGTGACCTATTAAGTTTGGGATGAGAGAATGGATATAGTCTTAGCTCAGGGTAAAATTTTTTTGTTATTTGGTTGTACGTGGTAGGCGCGTCCCTGTTCTCTGCAACCCCATTGTCCCCGAATCGTTGCCTGGAACCGCAGCGGTCAGTTAGCACGACGACAGTTATAGCGCGAGGAGCAGAACGACGACAGAAGAACAAGAAGGAGACGATTTGTCGTCGTTCTGTTTCTCGCGCTATAACTATCGTCACGTCACACCAACTAGCCCAAACCGCCACGCATCTAAGTCGGTTAGCGCGCGCGCGGTCGCATGGGCAGACTCGCTGAGATCCTGTTGTCCATTTTCGTCTTCGTCTGTGTGCGCTTAGATAAGCAAAATGGTGCATTTCAGCCGACTAGCCCCGTTATCGATTCTCGTGTTCGAACGACAATAAACATATTGGGCAAATTTTAAACGAACGATTTCGTGCTTCCAATAAGGCTGGGAAAACGGCTCTTTCGAAATCGTCTTTCTTTTTTTTACTTTTGTAATATCCAGCAAGCATATACAGCATAGCCATGCGCGTAACTTTGTCTTTTGGGGATTTCTTCGCAGGTTCTTTCACTCGCGCGTCCAGATGACTTACGAACAGAGCCTTTTCACGGAGGACGGCATGCACACATTCTTCGTGCCCGTGGACGACGCGGACCCGGCTAAGCGCACCCGAGTAGAGATTGACAAATACGTGAGTCCCACACTGCTGGTTCGCCATGGTTTTCAGCGGTTGAATCGACAACGTAGTGTATCCGTACGCATTTCAACATCGAAAAGCCTCGCGGGAAGACATGTCGGAAACGCGCTGTCAACCGGTAAACAGAGAACAGCTTCGGGGTATTTGCCTTGTCGACATCGCCCACATTTTCGGTTGCATTAAAGTAGTACTGACGCAGTGTTTTGAGGGCAAAATAACTTCTGAGATAGATTTTTTTTGGACGCACATCATCTACTAGATTGTAGCATCAAACACATTTTGAATATGTCGATGTCACAAAACGCAGTTCTTCGAGACATCCACGTCAGTTGCTTTGGATGTAAACGAACCAGAAACCACCTTTAAGCCACAAGCTATGTTTCTACGCCTTTTTATAGAAAATTAGTGACGATTTCTGGGGCAGATTGAAACACCCTACCTGTTATAGAGCTGTGTAATATTATTCGAAAGTGGTGATATCCTAAGGCGCTTAAAAAGACGCCAGAGTTCCCCCTTAAAGGTGCTAACTCACTGCGTACGCCACCGAAGTTATGGTTTAGTGGCACGTCGATGCAAATTTATTCGTCGTGGTTTTACCACGCTTGGGTAACTAAGAAATCACTTCAGCAGCGGAAGCGAAAGCACGGAGTAAAATATAGTTGAATGACACTTTCTTCTCGGTCGATGTTTTTAACGATAACGTGTGTTGATATGTAATAAAAAATGAGCGAGATGTAGTACTAGCAAAAATTAGGCTGTTATTTCTTTTTTTTTCTTGTGAGTTGTATGAACGCATTTTTTTTGTCTGCCGGAGCTTTCTGCATACGTTGTACACACCAAAATATGACGTTTGAATCTACGCACTGCGATGCGTAGAATCAAAACAGTGTGAAAGCGGCCTGAAGAGATAGTTTCTTGGCATGGCCGTCTCGCTCTGCACTGAAACCACCTCTACAAGCAGGTTGCGCGGGTAAATGTGCAACTCGATCATGTAGAATATTTTGAGATTTCGGCAACTTAAAAAAAAAAAGGTTTCTTACTGTTTTGAATACTGCAACATTCATTTCCTAGTTGGAAGATATCAAGCATTCGCGCCACGCTCAATAATATGCGCGTGCATGTGCTCTTTTTTTCTCTCTCTCTCTCAGGTGGTTCGTGGCCACGTGATTAAAAACCGCCGCCTGTTCACACGTACAATGGGCAACGAGACTTACGAGTCGGCCGCATGGGAAGACAACGCCATCAAGGTTGAGTTGTCACTCGCAAACCAGTCGGACTCGGCCGGCGCCGAATACACACGTGGGTTCACTCCTTAGCCTTCTATGTTTATGCTGTCGCGCAAATCTAATTGTTAAGGCACGAGCTGCCACAATACTGCTCAGCGTGAAACAGTGTTATAAACAATGGTGACTAGTATTCGATGCTTCGTTGTGCAAGTTGAATGTGAGTTCTGGCGTTACGTTAAATTTTTAAGAAATGCTTCGTTCCACGAAAAACAAAATATAAATGCGTTATTATTTAAAGAGCTATTTTGATAAAGTATTGTGTTTGTTTCTGGATACGTTTAAAGCTTTTTCGCCAGTCGCAACGGTTACTCTTAAGATAACACGTTGTTGCTTAATTTGGTTTTACTGGTTCCAAGGACGTAGTACTGTTGGAGCAGAAATTCATGATTAAACGCGTAAGATCACACGATTAGCGCGGTTACCCCTGATCTACGAGGGAACGCTGGTCGCTTATCGGTTCATGCTGACGTTGTGGGCGTGTTTCGCAGTGTTCGCGCAAAGCAACACCATGTCGCCGGAGCCGCAGCGCCAAAAGGGCGTGGTCTTGTCGAAGATCGTCAAGCCCAACATCCCCGTCAAGAATGGCGTCGTCCACTTGATCGAGAAGCCTCTCATGGTTGTCGACACTTCCATCAAGGATTTTTTCCACCGGGAGCGACACGGACGCCTCGAGTGAGTTGGCAACTGTGGTCACTTTGGCAGTACGTCGGTCGTCGGCCACCGCGTTTATCGGCACGCTTGACAGTTCGCGGCGCTGCTATCTCGTCCTGCAGTTGTATATTTGGCAGATCGAGTGACGGCAAAATTAAGGCAACCGTGAAGATGGCCCCTTTCGGCAGATCCTCTTCGAAGTATCGGTTCTACTGAGGGGTTTGTGCCTGCCTATGCAGTGTCATCAGAAGGCGGCAATAAGACTATGTTAGCGAACATAATAGGCAAAAAGCTAACGCGATGAAATTAAAAAAAAAGAACTTTACGTAGACACGTTTTCACTTTTTGTCCGCAATTATTGAAACAGCGTTGGGCCAGCATGTCTGTCTGTGGATTTTAAGTACGTCAAGTTAATATCCGTAATGTCCATCTTTTCATTACCATTTGCGACTCTAACCTCGACCTTTCAATATGGCCTAACTCACAAGCGCGAGGACGGCAGCACCTGACGCACGTATTAGTTGACACTAAGTTCCTTAGCTGCCGTCATCGAAGTACATTGACAGTGTCATGACGTAAAATAGCGGCTACAACGTCTATTAGGCTCTGTCTTCCGAGAAGCTACAAGAGCGGGCAGCCAATCATTGTTTTTTTTATTTTCCAGAGACTTCATGCGATTAGTGGACTACTCGCCCGATTTCCTGATGGATCTGGATGGAAGCCAGCCTAAGACCGTATTCGCGCCCACAAATGAGGCATTGAAAGTGATCCCAGCAAGCGTGCTGGACACACTGAAGGCCAACACGTCTGGACTTACTCAGGTACGCTTCAGTGAACGCTCGCCGTTAAACTCGTCGAGACATAGACTACTGAAGTTACGGACCACCGAACACCCATCACGACCATATGCAAGAGTGTCATTTCAATTCGTGGTGTCCTGCACGTTCTTTTAAATACTGGGCACTTTTTGGTAAACCAAAGGCTTTGAGGGGTACGTGCACACACCAACTGCTACAGTTAGGAGCAGCGATAACGATCAAAATATGCCTATTTCACGACATTCCTTGAAGTAGGGCTCCGATGGAAGTTTTGTTTTCTCGCTCCATCTCCTGGAGGATTATCCACAGTGACATACACAGTAAATTTTTTAGACCCTTAAGGGTGTAAACTGGCTTGTCGTCAGAGGAACACCCCATGGGTGTTTTCAGATTCACCCTACTGAGAGGGTGTTAGCTGAACACCCTACACAAAGGGTGTTCAGCAAAATGTTAGGGTGTTCTTATACTTCAACACCCTTCTAAGAGGGTGTTGAAAGGGTGTGCGACCTTCGAGTATAGTAATGCTCGTTAGATCACCGTTTCATGGGGACGAAAAACTCAATTAACATGCAGGCTCAGAACATTCAATTGTACGCTGCTACTTTGAACTAACGTGTGTGGAGTTTTCGATGGTGCGTAAAATGATTACGAACACTATATATCTATGACTCACGGATACGTGCGCGCAGCGACGCCATTTAAGATCGCACGAGATTAGCGGTCAGCCGTGCGCTCTGAACGTTAGAAAGATGGAAATCGTGTGTAGATTGTTACGTACATGGGTGCTAAAATTTACGATGCCAAAATACGCGAAATGATCGTTTCACATGATCGTAATCAGCATTTGCTGTTCAAAAAGACGGCGTGAAACAGAAGAGGCCGTATTTCTTGCCCTTTTTGAAGACGTGTCCCTTGGGATAACAGCAAATGAAGGCATTTGCTTTGCATAGTATTAGCGTAGGGTGGGGTAAAATGCGATAAAAATTTAACAATTGTGAGTAGTTATTTTCATTTCACTCTTCACAATTAAACATCAATGTAGAAACTTTCGTTTTGGTACACGGTATGTGCTACATTAATATTGCCATGTTGCCAGCGTTCAAAAAATTATTTTAAAAAACAAAATAAATGCTCCAGATGTCTTATTTAGCCCTGACTTGTGGGACAAAACGAGATGTGTAGTGTGAAATCAATTCATTCTTTCAGTTTTCGCAGCAGAAAGAGTTGAAATTCACTCTGTCGGCTCTTACGCAGTCTTAAGGAGCCCAGTCCTTGGACTCCACATATAGAATCTACACAGAACATGGTGTTGTGTCACTCCGAAAATCCTTGAATGTCAAACACCACTTGTCTTTCTTTGTGCTAATGTTGTCTTTTGTTAAATGCTTGTACCGCATTCGATCATTCTACAGTTGAAGGCTAAATATTTTCTGACGTATCTTTTTAACCTCTTGCCGTTTTGATGCAGAAGTGCTCGGGCGTTTCGTGGTTTTTAACATCGTCCGACGGTCTTTAGTAGGCAATGAACATAAAACTGTGCTAGATTATGATTTTCTAGCGCTTGTTTTTTTAATTAGGGTATTGGAGAAATGTTAATAAAACTGAACCCCAAGACATGTTTGTGAATGACCTAGCTTGGAGATTCCGATATATTTTAATGTGTTTCGAGAGCATCCTTCAAAAGACAAAAAATTCTCGATGCGGCGTGAATGGAGGAAGTCATGTCCTGAAGGGCAATCAGCGCTTTTCGATGTCGTTTTCCTCCCAGGAAGCTCTATATGATATTATTTTGTATGTCAAAACCATCCTAAACAAATAAATATAATATGTAATAACTGTATATTATTGGTTGAATTAACAATACATTCTCTAAGGCAATTGGATTCCTTTTTGTCGTCGCGCTTTGCCCCTCTCACATGCGAGAATAAAAAAAAAATGCTTTGTCCCCGGTACCAAGTGAACTAAACATTTAGTGTCATGTAGCTTGTAAACTAAAGTAACAACATTAATCATTACGTTGCAGTACTGACGCAGGAGTAGCTTAATTCACGAATCCGAAAATTCGGCCGAGCAGAATTTCGCCCGATTTCGACGGGTCACGGACACTGTGACACCAACCGCGTATTTTTCTCCGCGCGAACGCTTTGAGCAATCATCAATTTTTTACACATGAAAAAGTAGTCAAAGACCAGCACTTATCGCCGGAAAAGAGAAACAAAGAAAAGTAATTTTTGTATTAGATACAGAGGCTGGCAATGTCAAAATGTCGCGTTTTGCCCCGTGTCTCATTTTACCCCACCGTACTGTGATTAGTTTTAATTAAGTTTAGGCCAAGAACCATTCGAACATTTGTCATTACCAGCAAATTAGCCCATGACTATTGAAAATTCGCTGTTTCTTCGCTGTTTCATCGATTTCTGCGAAGCGGAGCTAGTTGAATTTTCATTGAGTGTCTTGCTGTTTGGTGATCATAGGGCTCATGTCTCTCACGTCGGGACCCTGCGATGTCGTCATATCACCGGCCTGCTAGATAGCCCAGGTGAGGTCTGCGAGCTCTGAGCCGTGCAAGGCATCAGCTCACCTCTCCAAGAGAACATCGCCGGATTAGGCCTAATGCCTTTAGTTTTGTTTCACATTCCCAGAGCGTGTGTTTGAGTGCAGCAGGATCCACAAACCGCTGACCTTGCAGGTGCTGCCATGATTGGCCCCAGAGTTTGCACAAGCGCGCGGCCGGGTCACAGTGCAAGCTCTGCAGTAACTAAGGTTTCTATATAGAGCTTGTTTTATCTAGGGACCTTATGCGAAACTTGCTAGGCGGAGTGAAACTCTGTCGGACCAGATAGGAAGCCCCCTACGAGTTTCTTGCTTCGTAAATCGGAACTCTTCTTGCTTCTTCAAAGCAGCGATATTAATAAGAGACACGTGACACTTATGGTAGAGATCTACGTAATGAGGTGTTCTTGCATATCTTCTCTCGCAGTTGCTGCGGTTACACATGATCAAGAACGAGGCAGTGGCGTCTGACGAAGTGTTGGACGCGGGCCGCACTGGCATCTTCGAGCGCGAATCCGCCAGCAGCCGGCGCATGCTGTACATGCGAGTCGTCGAGGGAGAGCACGGACGCAGTGAGTGTCCGTGACGCTGTTCGATGCAGCGGGCATGTTGAAACGCTCGTTGAAATGGGCAGTAAAACGCAAGGCAGGCTGCCTCTAGGTATAAGCAAGACGACTGGGTCGGCAGCCCTCGGGGAAGATTGCGGGGATGTTTGCCGGCGCGTAGCATTAGCCACGCTTTCCTGTAATTAATGCTGTGCGTTTCCTTGTGGCTCCGGTAGAACCAGAACGATAAAAGCTTTCCTTTTATTACGGTGCAGTTAAGTGGAGTTCGTCAGCGGCCTGTTTCTGGCCTTAAGCGCCTACCTTTCGCCCATGTAACGCCTGTCGAAGTCGCAGGCTTCACATGAAGGAAAAAAAAATGTACTCAGTTCGTTTTTTAAGCACGAAATGCGTTGACCCACCGTTGTTGGTGACCTTGAAGTGACCTTGAGCCAGAAGCTGCTATCTGAGAAATTAAACAAAAAAATCCGAACAACCAGTCAAACATAGAAAGAGAAAAATATCTCGACATATCCACGGAGTGATTGATGATGAGTGGGACTGCGCATACCGCTGACAGTAACGCCCAGCGTGACCTGCCAGGATGCTGTGGAGCTAATGAGTGCGGAAGGCATCGACCAGGTCCCCGTCGTTGAGGAAAGCGGGTCAGCCATTGACTTGTCCTTCTCGTGTAACAGATCAAGTGTGTCTAGTGGATAAGAACTGAAACGTGCCAGGCGCATGCCATTGCAAGATCCAGGCATTCTAATATATTTCGCAGCTATATATTACTGCACCGTTCAGTATACTTTCTCTTCGCGCCACTTTAATAGGACGTAATCTTAGCTTACCCCTTACAATGTTGTGGTCTAGTGGCTAAGGCACTCGGCTGCTGACCCGCAGGGCGCGGGTTCGAATCCCGGCTGCGGCGGCTGCATTTCCGATGGAGGCGGAAATGTTGTAGGCCCGTGTGCTCAGATTTGGGTGCACGTTAAAGAACCCCAGGTGGTCTAAATTTCCGGAGCCCTCCACTACGGCGTCTCTCATAATCATATTGTCACGGGGTCGTGACGTGGCCGAAGACAGGAGACTTCGTGTTAGGATTTAACTGTTTATTTGGGCGAACCTGTGCCCGGTAAACTGAAAGTCCAATTACAGCAGCAGTCTCGCACAGATAGCAGTCTCGGACTGATAGCGGCGAACGGAGCGTCGGCCTTCGATCAAACACTGACAAGCGGCGAAGCGCGTCGGCATTTATACTCTTGCCGTCAAATGTTCTAGCGTTATCGCTGGCGGTGGCGTAGCTTCCAGAACAATCTGTACCATTCGCACAGTGGGCGTGATCTTATCGAAATGATCTACTACAGTCCGGAACCTTCTAGAAAACTGCAGGCGCGGTTTGCGCTGAGAATCGTGCGGTGTTTTCGGGCGATAACAAAAACTTGGGAAATGGAACGTGGCAATATAGTGGTTTTGGGACGTTAAACCCCACATATCAATCAAACCCCTTACAATGTTTTACTTGATACCAATCTTGCCGCTGTTGGAGTGCTCATAAAGACGTCAAACCGACGGTCTCCGGAAGCGTCACATATGTTTGTTTGACGGTGTAGAATCGTAGAATGATAGGATGACTGGTACTTGAGCTGAGAGGTACATTCACGTAAGGAAAAAATAGCAGCATATCCACGGGGTGACTGATGATGAGGGGGCATAGCGTCCGTCCGCACTGAAGCACGGACGCATGGACGGACGGACGGAAGCGTGGGCGGACGCATGAACAGATGAACAGAAGCACGGACGCACGAAAAAAAAAGTAATCTCTGGCTCCCAACCCTCTGTGCAGAACCTAATTATATACGCTAGTTATTGTCTGAATAAACTGCAAAAATGCCACTTTCGAGTTGGTAACAGAAGCTCTAAGTTCGTTGAGCTTAAGTTAGATTTGCCGTTTCTAACAGCGACGTTCCCGAGCAGATACAGGGCACCATACACTATATTGTCATATGTTGACACTTAGACGGGATTGCCGGTGCGTAGATCAACGCCAGAGTGCGCGGGTTTTGCGCCACCTTCGAGAGTTTGCACCACGCTGCGCCGCAATGCCGCGTGGATGTTGTTAGGCCGAGAGGACACTTGCAACGAGGCTTAGTTCAAAACAGTTGCATTCCGGATGGATAAAATGTCAGATGTACGTCGCGTCATGAACGCATACGCAAGGAAAGCTGAAGATTTATCCAACGCAAAGCGAGAGAAACAAACAATGGGGCACATATGGTTCGGTGCACAGTATGGTTCAGTGCGCCACGTTGCATGCTTGCGAGTATGCACTATGCCCATTTTAATATCGCGTGTGGCTAATATCGTCTCCCAGCACTCTGCCTTGCCGGTAGCGCTTTCATCTACTCTTGATCACTGGGAAGTCACGCCCCCCCCCCCCCCTCCTCAAGCTTGCTTTTCCCGTACCCGGAAGGTGTATTCTGTGAGAACTCCCGTCACACACGGCGCTTGTGTTTCGCGTTCCATTTTTCGTGTGCATTCGTCTTACCTCGGTGCGCCGTTTCAGTAGTACAAAAAAACTCACGTCGTTTGGCGACTTGTGATGATGTTGCACTTTCTAAATCGCACACCTTTCTTATACATTTTCCTTAGAACACTACCCCCTCCCCCCCCCCTTTTTTTTTTCGATATGCAGCGATGTTAGGTCGTATCAAAGCGTTCATACGGTGGGACGACGCCCAAGGCGTATCGAGGCGAAGTCACGTGACGCCCGAGCACGAACGCGCGATCGAGCGGCCGAACGCGCTTCATGTGTATACGCCCGAGGGATGGCGCTGACTTCCTCTCCGCGCCGAGCGAGGACACAAAAGCGCGTTTATCGTCGACGCTTTTTGTCGGAATGTGACGAAACTCCTCGCGGCTGGCTCTCGTGCCAAAGCATGAATAGACCGGCGGCGCCGTGTTTGTGGCGCCAGTCGCCGACGCGACGCCGTCGTTTTTTCGAAGGTCAAACGTTTGTGTTCGAAAGGAAAATTGAAATGGAATGGAGCGCCCGAGGCGTACTACAGTGATATCGTTTTGTGTGGAAAGCACGACATCCGACCGTGGTCATTTGCTCACCTTATGGCTTCGGCTGCGGGCGGCCCAAAAAAACCGGCTCGTGCACACCTGAAACATCGACCGCACACTTCTCCATTATTGAAGAGCGACTGCACGGGCGCTTTCTGCACTAGACAAATTCCACCGTACTTATGTCACGAAAATGCGGTGGCGCTGTCTTGGTAGGCAACAGACGCTTTGCCTACCGCAGTTTCTGCTGGGATTTCAATAGTGCGTGTGGTGTTTCTCAGTCAAGCAACGAGAAAAAAAAAACGGTATGCCGATGAGCTGCGTCGCGGTTGGATGCGAGTCGCGTCTCACAACTTAGTTTTGTTTGTTGGCGCACATCGTAGCCCTTAGCGCTTATGGCTTTCACAACGCTTATGGCGTCTCACAACGTCGTTCAGTGGGCGCATAGCAGCGTTCAGTGCTTATGGCGGAAGTTACGTGCGAACGTCGCTATAATTTCACCCATAATGTCGACGTCGGCCTACCTGTGCTTACAAACATGGTGTGGGTCTATAGCGATAACTTCAATAAACGTGACCATTTCGTGTCCACGTGATGCGTGGAGCCTGTAGGGTTCTTGAGATGCATTCGCCAGACAGTTTCGAAAAGGTAGACGCTCTATCTATGCAGCGGAAATGTAGTTCTTGCTGTGAACAGCATAGTCTGGGTATGACAGCATGAAAGTTCGAGAAACTGCGTCTGTTGAAGCCGATGATGCAATATAACGGTGGCGTTTGTTCAAGAGTTGTATATCAGAAGAAAAAAAGTTCCTAAAATTGCTCTAGGTTGGTGCTTCAAGCAAAGAACGTAGCTTGTTATGAAATAAAGCCTAAACAATTTGCCTCGCTGACCAGTAGCACACTGACCACCTTTTGGCTATATTACATACGAAGTATGGTATTTTTATTTGCGGTAAATAAATATTGAAATTACGATATTTTCAACCCAGCAAAAAAATGTTGAACTTTGACTGCCAACTCTATTTGTTGATTTGTTGATTTCACCAAAGGCATATAATTAATTTGGCGACAACCGCATGAACAACGATGCTGTCATGCTGCAGTTCTTATATCGAATCGGCTGCAAATTAAACCCTCGGCGCATGAGTAATCAGACCCAATCTCCCAATTTTTAGCTTTTTTTTAATCTTTTCGTTACGTCATATATTGATCAGTGTGGCTGGCATTGAGGTTCATTTTTTCACACATGTAGTTATATATTGTCACGGGGTCGTGACGTGGCCAAAGACCGGAAACTTTGCGTTGGAATTTAACTGTTTATTTGGGCGAACCTGTGCCCAGTAAACGGAAAGTCCGATTACAGTAGCAGTCTTGGACTGATAGCGGCAAATGGAGCGTTGGCCATCGATCAACTACTGACAAGCGGCGAAGCGCGTCAGCACTTATACTCTTGCCATCGAATGTTCTAGCGTTATCGCTGGCGGTGGCGTAGGTTCCAGAATAATCTGTACACTTCGCAGAGTGGGCGTGATCTTATCAAAATGATCTACTACAGTCCGGAAGCTTCTCGAAAACTGCAGGCGCGGTTCGCGCTGAGAATTGTGTAGTGTTTTGGAACGATAACAAAACTTGGGAAATGGAACGTGGCAATACCTTGATTTTGTCTGGTTGCCGGGCCACAGATTATCTTCACCGCAATTCAGCGATCCTTATAAATTATCTAAAAAAAGAAAACAGACGTAGCAAGTGGCCGTACTGCATAAGTCGTGAACGTGCTTCTTCGATTTCGCTGTAGTAACAACCACAGTGCAGTTCTCCGAAATGGTTAGCTCACATCTGTCTCTATCTATCATATCTTTGTACGTCCCTTCGGTGACCCCTGAGGATGTGAAGCCGTATTTTGTGCCCCAGCTGACCTTTCCCGCTTTAGTTCTTTCGTCGTCATCTCTTTCTGTAGCCGGGGCTTGCGTCACATCAATAGTTGCCCGTTATGTGATCACGCCACTCTTTTGCAGCGTTGACTGTGGAAGGTGGTGGCGTGAATGCCACTGCCGTTCAAGCGGACATCGGAGCCACCAACGGCGTGATACACATCATTGACCGCGTGCTGGGAATGCCTTCGCACACAATTTACGAGAAGATCAGCAGTGACCCCGAACTCAAGTGAGTACCGCTGCTCGGAGACGACGGTAAAATTGCAGCAAGCACGAAATAAATTAAACACTCATGAAAATCTTCAGGCTTTAAGAGAGAGTTCCAACTCTAGTGTGAATGCGTACCGTCATCTGCGTATGTGACACTGTGGTCTACATAAAACAGTACTTTCTTTCAGACGTCATTAGAACCTTCTCATCATTACCCCATTTAGTCTAAATAAGATGTTTTAGCAGTTACTTAACCTCGATTCGGATTATTATTATTATTATTATTATTATTATTATTATTATTATTATTATTATTATTATTATTATTATTATTATTAATCACTTTTAAACCCTTTAGTTTTTTTTCGACATTATAGGAAATCTCCTCGACTCGAAGATCAATCTTCTCGGGCCATACTACTTTCCTTTAGAAAAGCATGCCAGAAATGACGAATCATTGCAATTATTTCTTACAAAAATTTTATCATTAGCGCCTTTTGTTATCACCAGTCTATGTTTCTACCTTGTGCCGTTTCCCAGGACATTAGACGTATCACCATGACATCACTATCGTATATTTGGCGTCTGCATGAGATAGTCCCCTACCCGTGATCTTTGGGAAGCCTGTTATTTTCTTTTATGCCTGCGCACTTCTTGAGCTCATCGCCTAACGCCAACGCTCCACAGCTATCGGCTGCGTTTTGTTAACGTCAGAGTTATGGTTACTTTTGAATCTGCTAAGACTACTACGCATTCGTGAGATTGTGCCGGTTGATTTAACCTACGTGGAGAGAAAATATTCGCGTGATGCGAGACACGGGAGTGTGCTTTACGCAGGGACACAAGGCGCTTTGCGCAGCACAAGGGCTGGATTGAACGGCTCAAGAACACCGACAAGCGGTATACCTTCTTCGCGCCCAGTGACAACGCCTGGCACGACATCAAGCTCGAATTCCCGTCGGAGTACAAACAGCTCTCCATGGACAAGTTCGGGTACCACGCGGAAAAAGTGAGTAACTTATTTATGAGGAGATACTCTTGGAAAAGGTTCCCTGCTGGCTAATTCATGGTCGCTCAATCTTAGACCCATTTCATGTTTGTAAACAGTGGTAGGTGCCGTCGATATACTGGAGTGCTTGTAGCGACGTCGTGGTGCCAGCTAGAACGCTAGTTCTCACGGGATCATAGAGAGTAGTGGCAAGCTTTGACCTGAGTACGTCGCTACAAGCGCCCTAGTATGTCGATGATGCATACCACTGTTTACCAACATGAAATAGGTCTATAGCAGCAGTCGCACGACCATTTGCGACTAACGACCAGCAGGGGCGTAGCCAGGGAGTGGCGCACTGGGACTCCCGTAATTTTAAATGCGGAGTGTAGCGCTACGGGAGCATCTCTTGCTCGGGTCTATGTCCCCCGGCGTCGGCGTCTGCACTCACATTACTCATGCGCAACTCTCCTCCTTCCTTCTCTCAAACAGCTGCTCATTAATCTTTCGCCTCGCAATGCCGACGCAGAGAGCGTCTGCTAATGGTGCATTCAGACGACGGACCGAATCCGGATTTCTCGTGGACGCGGACGGGTAATCCGCGGATGATCCGCCTGCAGGCGCATCCACACGACGGACGGTGTCCTAGGAGAAAACAGCCGGATTACCCCCGACAGCAGGTTCGGCGCTCACCTGTGCGCGCTGAAAGCAGACCGGTTTGAGAGTATTCAACATGGATGCCCGCAAGAAGCGACGCTTTACTGCGTTGTCTGTCGCGTTGTGACAAATGAACGATGAGTGTTATTCTTTCAGGAGAAAAGGGAGTTGCTGGCAAAATGTTCTTTCAACTACATTGTTCCCCACTTGTAGAACTTCTGAACGCGTCTCCCATCCTTTTTTTAGAAGCGGCACGTCGCCGGTTGCAGAAGTTAGAATATATCACCATCATGACGGCTAAGAATCTCGCGTGTCACACGACGGCGGCGACATTTCCCGAACCACCAAAAGTGATTTCTGCGTATTTAATCACCTGAGAACAAAGCCTCCGGAAACTAAGTAAACCATGCTCAAGCGTAGATGATGCCGACCAGTCATGCAGCTATTTGCGAGCCAAGGAGGACATGCCGCGAGCAGACGAAAAGTTTACTGGTTGCCAGAAACCCCGAGCTAATCCGCTGAAGTATCGGCTTTCCCCCGCCAGAATCCCGATGTGAGAAACAGGTTGGGGTCATCCGTCCGCGAGCCGCGCGGACGAGTCGCGGACGAGGGGAATCGCTGATGTGAGGTCACGTGACGCGCCGTCCGTCCCGCCACATACGGATTTGGTCCGTCGTCTGAATGCACCATAACCGACGCTCGCTCCCCCTCTCTCTAGGCATTCATCCCTGCGGTGTTTACACCACATCGCGCATGCGCGCTTGCTCTTGTATCTCTCCTTTCCTACGCTCCCACCTCTCTAGCCTTGCAACGCTGACGTAGGCAGCGTCTGCTATAGCGCGTTTCTTGATTGAAAAAACGTACTGTTCGCGCTGCAGAACCGTTCACTGGCCATCTCGTATAGCGTGCGCATTAGCTAAAAGCGGACCGTGGGTCTCTGTCTCCAATCGGAGTCTTCTGTCTCACTGCCCATTAGTAACGATTCGCATGTCCCAGTAGCAAACAGCGTGCTATCACTGTGTGCTTTGCGTCCCCCCCCCCCAGGTCTCTCCTCCGCAATGCCGCGATGAGCGTCAGCGTCAACGTCGCTTCCAGTGTAAGCGTTAGCGTCCGCTGCTTCACATCTACGCATGGTTCCCTTTAGAGGTGGCTTAATGATTTCACCACAGCTTAAAGAGCAAAAAAGACCTTTTCAAGGTGGTGACCCCACCCAAATCACGAAAGCGCCCCCCCCCCCCAGAAAAAAGAAAATCGATTACATTTAATAACCACAACAGGGCACCTGCGTAGTGACGGCGTTGGTGAGAAGCGCTTCCCGTGGGCAGCGCATGCTGGTACTAAGGACTGTACGTCGTGTGTCACCACTCGTGGTAGTCTTTTATGTGTAGAGCGCACCTATAGGTGGACGGCCGCTCCCGGTACAATTTCAGCACCGTTTTTTTTTTTTTGTTGTTGTTGTTGTTGAGAGCGCAGCCCGTAGAACCTCCCGCCTGCTGTGGAGGCAAGAGTCGCGCGCTGATCATTACCGCGAGAGCGCGGCTACCATAAGCGCTCCCCCCCCCCCTTCCTTGTTCGCTCACGAGATAAGCGCGTGCGCAGATGACTCCGGATAGAAAGGCGATGTTCGCTCCGCAGAAAGAGGAAGCTGGCGTAATAAAGTTGTTTTCATCCTCACTTTGTATATATATATATATATATATATATATATATATATATATATATATATATATATATATATATATATATATATATACAGAGTGAGGATGAAAATGGGCAATGTGAAGTAAAGATGGAGTCCTCAGGCCACACCAGACAACCTCGTCCTTCTCTTCTTCATCACCGGCACATACCACAGCCCGGCTTATACTGTAGTAATCCCCGGTTCACAGACGAAGCCCGCCTGGCGAGTCGAAGTCACTGGAAGGATGAAACTTCTTGAGGCGAGATACGTGTACTAAGAGAGAGAAAAACAACTTTAAGTGAAAAAATTCACAGAGGAATGGCGGTCGGGCCGTGCCTGGCCGCCACCTCGTCAGCTCGCCGTATGGCCCGGAGCTGTACTTCCAGGCTCGTATCGCGGAATACACTTTCCCACGACTCGGACGAGGAAGTGGTCAGGAGATCAGGCGGGGGTGGATCCTCGCTGCAGTCCCATAGTATATGAGAGAGGGAGGCGACGGAGCCACATTTTGAGCAATGCGGACTGTACAGATCGGAGTAAATGTGTGCGTGTATTCGTGGGCACGGGAACGAGTTCGTTTTGAGGCGGCGCCATGTGATTTCTTGTGGTTTCGTGAGTTTGGAATGCGGTGGTGGTTTTGTTCGACGCGTGAGGCGATAGTGCTGAGCAATTCCGTGATATGATATGAGGGGCTCGCCGATGTTCTCTGGGTTCTTGGCGAGACGCACCGCTCGGTTGACGAATTCTCGAGCTTGTCGCTGGGCGGCCTCGTTCCCCAGGTTTCCCGCGTGCGCCCGGGACCCAGATGAGAGATATGGGTGGCGGATCCTCGTCTTCGAGGTAGGCGAGGAACTGAAGGCGCCGTAAGGTACCGGGAGCTGTAAGGAGCCATAAGGTCTTGCGTTTTATTTGACCGACGACGAGGTGTCGTCAAGCGTGCCACGACGTACGTCAAGTCGCTCAAGCGATCTACAATGACGAAGGGGCCTGTATACTGCGGTAAAAACTTCTGGCATAAACCACGTTTCCGTTGAGAGGTCGACAACCACATCAATTCACCTTTGTCGAATGAAATGACATGATGGTGTTGATCGTATCGCAGCTTGGAGCGATCTTGTGCTGCCAGTGTGCGCAGGCGAGAAATTTGGCGGGCTTCTTCTGCCCGGCACAATGTTTTGGCTATGGACTCATCAGCATGGGGCTTAAATGGAAGGATTGTATCAAGGGAGCTGCGTGGTGATCGAGCGTAGAGCAGGTAGAAAGGCGTGAAGTCCGTGGTTTCATGCTTCGCTGTATTGTATGCGTAGGTAATAAATGGTAAGATCTCATCCCAGTTCTTGTGATTGGACAAGACGTGCATAGCGAGCATGTTATTAAGAGTTCAGTTTGTACGTTCTACAAGACCAATCGTCTGGGGATGGTATGGTGTCGAATGTCTGAATTACGAAGTGCAGAGGCGAACCAATTCTTCCACAGCGTCCGCGATGAATTGGCAACCACAGTCCCTGATTATTACACAAGGTGGACTATGGCGAAAAACTACAATGCGTAACAAAAGGCAGTGACGCCATCAGCTGTGGAAGATGGTGTCGCAGCAGTTTCGGCGTATCTGGTAAGCTGGTCTACGCACAGTATTGTCCAGCGGTTGTAGTTTGAAGATTGCGGAAACGGGCCCAATAGGGTGATGCCAACCTGCTCAAAAGGTGTAGTAGGCGGCTTTACGGGTTGAAAAAGGCCGTGCGGGGCACTGGTCGGTCGTTTATGATGCTGGTACTGCTCGCAGCTCGAGATGTATTGCTTCGTAAAATCTCGCATTCGAGGCCAGTAAAAACGCCGATGTGCTCTATGTAAGATGTGAATGAACCCAAGGTGTCCTGAAGTTGGATCATCGTGCATAGTACAAAGAACGTCGCATCGAAGACTTTCAGGTACAAGCAGTAAATAACGTGCGCCGGTTGCTGTGTAATTCTTCCACAACAGTCCATCACGAAGGCGAAAACGACCACTGCCGCTAAACATTCTTGCTCTGTCACCGTATAATTCTTTTCAGCCTTGCTTAGAGATCGATTAATATAAACAACGACATGCCCTGCATTATTATGGCGCAGAAGAAGCACACCTCCGATGTCAATTCCACTTGCGTCACTGTGCACTTCAGTAAGAGCAGACGGATCTAAATAACGAAGAATGGGTCAAGATGTCAGTAGAAGCTTCAGTTCAGAAAATGCGGCATCACATTCAGCTGTCCACTCGTATGGGCTGTTTTTTTGCAACAAGCTCGTCAATTGTTGCACAACGTCCACGAATCTCGGCACAAAGCGACGAAAGTAGGAGCATAAGCCCAAGAATCTGCGAAGTTCCTTTAGTGTCGGGGGTGGTTTGAATGTGCTCACTGCTTCGATTTTACGGGGATCTGGCCCGACATCATCTTTGTCAACTAGGTGACCGAGAACTAGTGCTTGTCGTTCACCAAACCGGCACTTCTTAGAGTTCAAAATCAAGCCAGCCTTTCCGACACAGTTTAAAACAAGGCTCAAACGGACGTTATGCTCTTCGAAAGTACGCCCACAAATTACGACGTCGTGCAGATAGCAATAAGCACACCTCCCATTTAAGACCACGAAGGACAGAGTCCATAAATATTTCAAAGGTGGCGGGGGCGTTTCAAAGTCCAAACGGCATC